AGTATCCCACCTCGACCAAACTGCTCAACCATCACATTCTCAAACAATTCATCCCCACACAGCTACCTCATCATGTATCACTTCCCCCTCCCTTTTAGATTGTAAGCCCTCATGGGCAGGACCATCCTTGCCATCTTGTCTTGAATTGTATTGTGTTTGTAATGTCTTCCTTATATTGTAAAGCGATGCGCAAACTGTTGGCGCTATATAAATCTTTTATAATAATAATAATAGCTGGTTCCCTGACACTGTAGTGTGACACAGGCCATAAACTCGCAGAAAGGGGTATTTTGGAAAGCTGGAATTAGGTCCTATTTTGGGGAGGGGTAGCCTATGATTGTACAATTCTATTCTTAATGTTTGCTGCTGCCTGACCTTTCCCTTGCATTAAGGAAGAGTGGGCAGCCTATGGCCATAATGTTTTACCTCTGCAGACCTGCTTTCAGTGTCCTGACTATAATGTAACAAATAAAAATATAAAACATTCAACTGGAGTGCCTGGGGGCATAAAAGATTATGCTGGCGAAGGAGAGGAGTTGCTGATAGCAGACAGAAGATGGCCTTTGCTATGTGCAGCCCAAGCACTGCATCAAGATAAAAAAAAACAACAATTAAATAAATAAAATATATAAATACATATGAAAATTAATTAAAACCATTAAAAGTATATAAGTAAAAGCAAAATAAAAAAATAACTTGCAGCAGGGATGATAGAATTCTGGGGAGGACCCAAGCTTTTGGACAAAGTTAAGCTCAGACTGCCAGTTTTGAGGGTTGTTATAATAAAACAATCAACTGAAAAGCCATAAGCACACTACAACAGGTATAAGGGCACTAAGACAAAAATCAAGGGCAAAATCAAAGGTGGGAGTATGAGAAATAAAATGGCTAAGAATCTGAACTGGGTTGCTGCACTGGTAGTTGGTAGATGATACCTATAGCTGTAAGACAATGAATAGAAAAAACAGAACACAAGCAACCTAGTGTGTTATCAGAGGCAGGAAGGGGCTTTCAGAAAGAGGACCCATCTCAAAACACGTGGCCATAAAAACCTACAGAGAAGAGGACACTCTCCCTCTACACACATCCACAACTGTGAGAAAGCCACCGTGCCATGTACAGCTGCAGTCTCATTACCACAGAGCCACTGGCATGACGCTCCTTGCCTGATTGCTGGATCGGATAGGCTGCAGACCGCTATGACAGCATTTATATTTTCAAGCCCTACTGCACAAATACAGCTGTGTGTGCAAAAGCTTTATTCTCCTATTAATAAATTGTTTTTAACTTTTACACACAATAAAGTTTTCCCTTGGTTGTTTGCCATTAGCATAACTCCGCCAGCTATTTTACTGCACAAATCAGCATTCTATGTGTCATTGGAAAAATTGGTACATGTTCCCCATGATAGCATCCTGCTTCCCATACCTTTTTTTTTGACAACACCTTGCCAATTAGCCTTGAAGATGGCACCAATGTATAAATGCGATTCACGCTCCCATAGATTTCAATAGGGTACGATTCTAAGTTTGGGTTTTGCCGACTTCATGCAGGAATCGACAAACCCTCAGTGAATTGAACCCAGATAGAATATCACTTTAATGTTTCTCTCACTTTACTTCCTTCTCTTAGACCTTGTTTTATGTTTACCATCCTTACAAGCCCCCTATGTGATAGCATATTGGCTGTCGGGATCCGTCCCGGCTGCGGGGGTCTCAGTATACCGCAAGCTGTAGCTCGCGATATACTGAGCTTTGGGTCATAGGAGGACGATAGTATATGTCCTCCCGTGACCCTTAAGAGAACTATGGGGAAAAACACTTACCCCATAGTTCTCTTTTAAAGCGGAATTTTAACCCTATCTTTAAAATAACAACAAACACACCTTTAGAAATGTTTAGTAATGGCAATCTACAAACACATACTTCTAGATAATTGCTGGCTTGGTATTCTTTGCATACCTTATTTTTCTCTTCTTTCCCTGTCTTCTGACAGTATCCATTTTTACTAAGGGCAGATTACTAGCTCTCCTTTTACTTCCACTCTGGCACATGTGACTAGGACATTTGACCATGCACATGACCTCAGTGGAGGAAAATGCCTTTCCCTGAGATCTCCTGAGATTACAGATGAGTTTTCCCAGCAATGCCTTGCTGATGTAACCTTCCCAGGATGCAACTTGGGCACATTACATCATTTGTGCTAAAATTGTCCAGAAAGTGGATAAACGCTATTTTTAAGTAAATGAAAAACATGTTTGTTTAACTGATTAATGTAATATGTTTTTAAATCAGCATGCAGAGCTGCATGTTGATGTGCTTTTTAGTAAAAGGGGTAAAGGTCTGCTTTAAAGAGGAACTTTACCCATACCTTTAAAATAACAACAAACACGCCTTTAGAAATGTTTAGTAATGACAATCTACAAACATACTTCTAAATAATGTAGGTTTTGTATTCTTTGCATACCTTATTTCTCTTTTCTTCCCCATTCCTTTGACAGTGGTCATGTTAACTAAGGGCAGGTTACTAGCTCTCCATTTACTTCCTGGAACTGTGGCACATGTGACCATGCACATAATCTCCGGGGAGGCAAATACCTTTCCCTGAGATACAGATGAGATTTCCCAACAATGCTCTGCTCATCTAACCTTCCCAGGATGCAACGCTTTGGCACATTACATCATTTGTGCCAGAAGTGGACCAGGAAGTAGATGACCTCTATTTGTAAGTAAATGAAAAACAAGTTTGTTTAACTAATGAATGCAAGATCATTTTAAATCAGCATGCAGAGCTGCATGCTAATGTGATTTTTAGTGAAAGGAGATAAAGGTCTACTTTACCTTACTATCATATAAAAGAAAAATATCAAGCCAGGTTTAGATAAATAACATGACTTTTACTCAAATAGATGTGACAGGCACACAGTAACCTCTCTAAAGGAAAGTCTACATAATCCATTTTCAGATTACAGTAAATTTCCCAGATTTAATGACTCCCAGAAAACTAGGGAAGGTTTGTGAAGGTACTGCTATTCCCTCCAGGGACCTGATTTTCGATGTTTGTGTTTCGGTGTGCAAAATAAAGACAGGTTAACTTTAAATGTGCAGTTTTTATAATTAAATAAAATGTGAAAAGATGTTGGATACCAAGGGACATGTGAAACTTTGCATACCATTAAGAATCAGTGACAAAAACTGTAGCATTTAGCTAGATTAATAACTGAACATAATTGTGGAAAAACAGCTGTTTGCAAGGGAAATATCAATTGTACATTAGTTACCCTGGTTACTGCACTGGTCAGAGCTGCACCAGCAGTCCTTATAGAAGGCAGAACTGCTTCATCATGATAGCCATGGCGGAAGCAGCTGTCACTGAATCCAGCTTGAGACAGCAAGCAGCAAAACAGCATCCATGCATAACAGTTCGAAATTATTTTATTGGAACAAATCAGGCAGCTGGAATTCTATCTGTTTCTCCAAATACTAAGAATGAACCATATTAAAAAAATAAAGCCCTCGGTGCTCACTCAAATATGATTACCTTCAATTTAATGTGCTTTTAGTGATTACCAATCATAATGCAAAACACTTCTATGAACACATGCTGTTAATTTTTTTATAAATATCTTGTATCTGTAAATGTGCTTATTTGATCATGCAACTATAAATCTGTTTTTGTAAGGGAAGGTAAAGGGGCTAGCATGCAGCTTATATCTGAACTGGTATTCTGGCAATTTTAGCTTGAGCCAGAAAGATTATTGTGTCTAAAAGCATTCGAGGAGCAATTAGATTGCCTATGGAGAGTTCAGCTCTTAATGAATCAGCAATGGTCTCCCTATAATATTAGGAAGACTGCCTTGCCTTCGGAACATTATATTGCACCACTATGTCTGTCTAAGCTTGATAATTGAGACAAAAGTGTTTTAAATACCAAGACTTCTCAGTAGATAGGAGTAAACTAAAAATATGCATCACCAAAAATTTGCCTTTTTTGTAAGCACAATCAAGTGTGTGTGTCTGTCTTGGGAGCCCATGGCAAGCCATCGTTTGCATGACTTACATTTGTTGGCTCTACCTCGGTATAGCCCTGCTGCTAAAATAACCAGTAAGCTGGTAGTGCAACTGTTCAAAGGGGCCTTGTCCTTAGAGCTGGGAGTTGGAAATAAACTATAGGTTCAATTTTAGTGCACAGCTGAATTTCAATATTTCTGTAAACTGTTATATAAATATATGTTACATGTATAAAAAAATGTTCCAATATACAAAGTTATAGACAGAATAATACTTAATGCCTTCAGGCTCAGCTGTTCTCATTCTCTGCTTTGAACAGGAAGGTCATATATTTTCTGCAGAAGATAAGCTCATGGTACCCATACAATCCTGTAACAAGACTGAATGATAATCCTTATCTAATACAAATCTGATTTCATTTTTACCTTTGGATAGAGTGGGGAAAGATTAGAATGTTGTGATTTACCACTTTGTGGGACTCTGATAGAGAGATTTCCCCTCACTTGTTGTACCAGCTGTTTTACCAGACAGGCAGTGAGGGGAATAGTAAGACCGAAAGAAAAAAAATCCTCTATAGCAGAGTAATGGAAGGTTAGAACTAGGGATCAACCGATTATCGGATCTACCATTAATCGGGGCCGATATCCCCGCATTTTTTAAATTATCAGTATCGTTAAATATACTGATTTTACTATTATTAAACACTGTGCAAAATTCACTGTGTCGCTGTCTGGCCAGCATCCCTTGAACAGGTACATCTACCTAGGAACAGACCTGGCACCCTTACAGCTGCAGGTTCTGTTTAGGTATTCTGATATTCTGGCAGAGGTCGGCAGGCGCTGTCAGAGTACATAAAAAACCCCAGCCTGCTATTGGCTATTGCGGAGTTTAGTTCCGCTTTAGGAAAAATGCATACAGTTTTAAAAAAATCGAATTATTATTTTTTGTTTATTTTTCTGTAATATATATTGATAGAATTTTTTTTTTTACCTGAGAGCTTGGTATGATGGCCTTCCACCAGTGTCCTCCTTTTACAAGGTCAACTTCACTCAATGGCATTGACACTTTCCCAATAACACAATGTCTGGAGAACTTGTCGAAGTCCACAACAGTTAGCAGCAATGTTCTTCTTTGGGCTTCTAAAAATGGAATTTCAAAAGTATATCGTTCCTCATATACTGGGTTCTGGGTCTTACGCTTGACACCAGTTTGTTTAGAGTTCTTCTGGTCTGGCAATAGACATATCTTCACATACGGGTTTGAATGAGCCATGTCTTGTCTAGACCCATCGTAAGATATTGGAGGTGGCAAGTCTCTGGCCTCAATCACCCTGACAGTCAGATAATTGTGCAAAAGGTCATACTGAACACTAAAATGCAGCATACCTAATTGGTACTTGGTTAGAATTTCATCATCAGTTAATGAATCTACATCATCATTACTGGGATCAACAGGATATAAATGAGGTTCAAACTTCCTAAAATAGTCTTCTGGGGTGTATATTTTCCTTAGCACTGTTGGTTGTACAATCTCTTTTTTTGCTCCTAATGCACCAAACTCAATTGGTTTTATATCAATTAATGGAGAACTGGGTCTTCTAGATTCTAAACCTAAGGGAAAAGGGAATTATAACAAAGTTATAACAGTTATTACTGTATTTGCAATACAACAGTAATCAATGATCATACATACATCATTAAAAAATATCCATGCACACACCAAAAACATATGTGAAATAAGTATATATAAAAAAAAAACTGAATCTTTGGTTTCAAATTTGCACCCAAACATCCCGTACTGCCATGCCCTCATAAACTATCCTGTCCTGATTTGGTTGCAAGCATTGGAGTTCTACTGATATCACCCTAGCCACTTTCACTGAAGATACAGTTATGTATGTGGGAGTTATGTATAAGTCACAAGAAAAATTGAATAGAAATAACATTGGCAAGTAAAACAGAAGATATACAGTATAGTTCAACTGTGTTGCAAATGTTGCTATCCATTCGGCTTTCCAGCTTGTTAGTTCAATCAGTTGGCCATATTTTGATATTATCCCACTTTATTAGATCCAAACATTACATTCAAAGATAGAGCCAAACCTTGAATCCACACCAGTAGTTGCAGTACACTGATAGCAATAAAAGGCCATTACAAAACCCACAAATCTCATCCATTGGGTTCACAAAGAAAACAATGGATAATTTCTAACTGTCCTGATGAAGGTGGCATTTTTAGACCCCAGAAACATTCTGGCTCTACCTTAGGCTTTCATATTACTAGTTTTCGTAATTACTATTGGCTATTGGCTATTTCAATTTGCAATAGCCAATAGTAATGTCCCAATGCCTTTCAATGGGGAAAAATCTTTTTTTTTTTTTTTCTCTATTCTGACACGATCGATGTCACGATCGATGTCAGAATAGAGAAAAAAGGACACAGCAGTGTTTCTCTTCTTGGCGGACGGGAGCAGGAGACTCCCGGGGCGCCAGGGAGAGTTTGCTGTTTGGAGATCAGTGTCCCTGGTTAGCAGGTAACCAGGAACGCTGATCTCACTGCAAGTGGCCGGAGCCAGCCGTAAGATCACGGCTGGCTCCGCCCAGCTGTCAGAAGCTCGGCCATGATCGGGCGCTGTACGGGCTATTGTGAATAGCCCGTACAGCAACCCTTCGGTTCTACTGAAGCCGAAGCTAGCCGAAGGATCAGCCGAAGCTACGGCCAGATCCTTCGGCAGCTTCGTGAATAGACCCCTTAGTATTTTTGTTTCTGTGTCTATGCCACAAGGATTCCAGCAATTTGTAACTCCATCATTGAGTGATTTTTGTTTTGTTTTGTTTTGCAGCATTGAAGCGAGATACAGAAAAACCATCAATAGTAGCTAATTATGTTATCTAATAGCTGCTAGTGCTCATGACACACAAGTCATTTGTAGCTGCATAGGACATTAGCAACTGTAGCAGTTACTACAGAAATGTTGTTAGGGAAAATAAGCAGGCTACAAATCTTTGGTACAAAGTTTCTTGTGTGACATGGCCCTTACTGTATGTAATTATACCCAGAATTATGTGTACTTCTTGCACATCCAGTCAGAGAAGCTTAGTTAAATAGATGAGATTCTTTTTTATTTGACACTACATTGACCACGTTAATGCTTCTAGCGCCACCACATCTACGTTTTCAACAGTTTTGTCAGTGACCCTGAAAATGGACTTGCAAGGGTTGCAGCTACCAATTAACCCCTAGGAAAAGAAAGGATCCAGATTTGAGATTTCCTATTTCTACAAACTTCATGATTTTGATTCTGTCCAGCCGATTATACCGTGACCCACATCTTCTCATCAACTGCAAGCTCTCTAAACACTAAAACAATATATGGTAGCTTACACCCTGTAGTCTGTATATATTATGGCAACTGTCAGGTTGCGGACAAATATAGGTGTGGCCTAAATGTTGCAAATTAAGTGGAGTGTAAGACTCTGCAGCCTATGATAAAAAAAAGTCCTAGCTGCATCTTTGGTTCCAAATTTGCACCCGAATATCTGGAGCTGCCATCCCTCATAAACTATTGCATGTCTTGATTTGACTGGATCATTGAACTTATGGGCATATAACCCTAGCTGTCACAAAGTGTTGAGTATTCTTACTTGAAATGCGCCTGGTGAGGCTATACGTAGATCTAGACGTATCTGAAGATGATCTTCTTCTATCTGGGGAGGTCTCCTGTGGTGTTGGAGGTGGCTCGCTTGTTGTTGTATTGTCTGAATCTCCTTCCTTTTCATCACTGCGATGATTTATCCTATGTATGTACAAAATTATTATTAATCATTTTGGGGGCAGAAGCTTTGACAAATTAAATGACAAGAAACCTATAATAAAGCATGAATAATAAATAGACTGCAAGAAGCATTTGGAACATTTTTAAATAGGTTTTTAACATATATGACAGCATATTCATGGGTTGAAAAGTTCTGACAGATTTAAAGAGAGATATAAATATTTTGCCTCACATACGCCAAAACACCAACCTGCCAAGAGAGGTTTTCAAGGAGACATAAATAATTATATACATATATAATTGTATTGTTGTTGTTTATTTTACAGAGTATACACTTGTAAGCTGTTGTTTTCTTTTTGTGTTTTTTTTCCACTAGCTACATAAAATTTTGCTTAGCAAATAAACATTTCGTACATAGCAAAAGATTTTCAGAGCAGTATGGGTTATCAAGAGCACAGCAGAGCAGCTCCCGTTCATCTGGGACTCAGGGGTCTCATTAGGAATAAGTCACTGCTCTAATTTTTCAGGTTCTGAAAACAACCAACTTCTTTTAGCATAGTTCAAAAGTAATCATGCTGGTGATGTGAACAGGACACTAGAGTGGCACCTGCTGGTTGGGTAGAAGACTACATAACAGTAGGAAATATATTTATCTGACCAAAGAAAAGGATGTTTATAAAAAATTATTTTTGACCATAATAAACAAATAAAACACATTATTTTTAAATGTATTATATTAGGTAGGCATTAAAATGTATTAAATAGATAAAGGTTGGTGTTGTTGGCTAAATTCTTTGTAATAGACTGATTTAATTTTTCTGCTCAACGTCAAGGTTTTCTTTTTTAGTACTTCAGGTGGGTTACTGTACGCTGTGCTACTCAGTTATTTGGGAGGGGGATATGTTTGAGTGTAGATGCATTATACATGTTTCTATTTAGCTCATAAACAATGGTTAAGTTGATTCATCTGCAACTGAGGGTTGGGGGGGCTGTTAAATCTTTCCCTTTTTTGCAACTAACGTCTTGTGCTACTAAATGATGTCTCTCATGTACCTTTTCTTGCTGTTTGCTATGTATTCTTCCTTTAATTTTGACCCTGAAAATGTTAATAAAAATAATGTAAAGCAGAACTCCAGGGAAAATTATTAATCACCTTTGTAGCGAGGCTGCAGTAGGGCTACCCCCAAACTGAAAGGCTTAACTTCTTGTTTTGGTAGCGACTACCACTTGTCTAACAACAAGTGGTAGGGACTAGCACTTGTCTAACAAGCTGGCTTAGGGGATCAAGTGAGTATAACTTTTTTATTTTCTTACCTGGACACAAACGAGCACCTTACCCTTGCAGTGCAGGGGTAGCCCCACTAAAAGGGTTAATACTAATTTTCCCCAGAGTTCTTCTTTACAAAAAAAAAATTCAATTGATGAATTTTGGAGATTCTCCAATAATTCCTATAGAGGACCCACTGCTATGGTTGTTGTAAATCTGACTCCCTGCAAACCTGAATGTTACCCTTAAAATCCAGATTTACATTTGCCCTCTTTACCCATCATTAATAAGTTTACAGCTTTCCTGAATGCGCAGTATGAATGATGATGAAACTAATGATGAATGATGTGTTAGCAAGAAATAGTATTTCACCAGCAAACCGAGGTCAAGTGTCCAAAAACGTCTTTATTAATGTATGTACATCTTGTCAAAAGTAGGCAACATTTTGAGGCCACTTGGGCCCCTTCATCAGGCACAATATGACAAAATGTTATAATATAACCAGACTTATATACAAACTCACCCTAGTGCAAAATCACAAAACCCAACCCCTGATGTCATAATGATGTCATATTCCGGCCATAAACAAGCATTACTTGCAGAATAAAATGTAAGTGAAAACAGAAGCACATCACATATCATATATAACAAATATGCGGGCTATGCACGTGGTCAATCATGTAAATTATCTGGCAACTGTTCAAACTGTATATAGGAATGCTTGTTTAAAAGGGAATGTAATAACCTTTACAGTGGGTGTCCACGCCATCTAGGTCTAGGTTTAATCTAGGTTTTATGTTAAACACATCTTACACAAAACTCCACTGAAATATTTCAAGAAAAACTGAATAAAATATGTTAAATTTGTTAATATAATTTACACCACCAATATACATTTGTTTTCCCCTTCTCACTTTTCTCCATTGAAAACTTTTGAGTATCTCTTAGCTAACATTTTAATTTCTATTTTCTCTAATAATCTAATAATGATTGTGCCATAGGGCAGATTTCACATTTATAAATGTACAAGAATAATTCCCAGCAAGACAAGCAAGACTATCTCCATCTACCATGGGATCCATGTTGTCCTAAAGGTAATGTATAATGGTTTTGTATAAGTTGTGTTCTTTATTTATAATGATAGAAATGCATATATATTAGGGATGCACCGATATATCAGCCGCCAAAACATATTGGACGAAAATGGCACTTTTGGCTAAATGACGAAAGTGCCATTTTCCTGCCAATAAATCCCAGGTTTCTCTCCTCCCCGCTGGGCTCTGCTCTGTGTCCCAGAGGGGAGGAGAGAAAGTGACAGCCGGCCGAGCACTGCGGGACGAGAGCGCTGTGAGCGGCTGGTGTCTCTACTCTGCCTATCACAGTGCGGCAGAGCGGTGTGGGGGCGGAGACAGCGCTGTCACAGGAGACTGAGCTCTCCTCTCGCACCGCTCACTCAGCCTCCTGTGACAGTGTGTGTCAGAGAGGAGAGCAAGGTACAAACACTCAGTGATCAGTGATCGCTGAGTGTTTGTAGATAATTGAGAATATGGTATGTGTACTATATCCTCAATTATGAATGAATGGGAGTGATCTATATCCACTCCAGTTCATTCATAATTGTGGTTATAGTAAACAAACAATATTCTCAAGTTATAATTTTGTTTGTCTAGTAAATATGGAATATTGCATATGATCATTATGTTGTCTTCTATTCAGCCAGCAGATTGAGCTCTCAGTATTTTTTAACATTCTTTCTTCTGTTTCCCTACAACCTGTTGTATAAGCCCGTTTACAGTCCTCAATAGCTTACGCTGAAATTGATAAACAAACTGAATGACTCATAGATACAAAAATCCATTATTGGGCTCCTCCTTTTTCTAGGTTACAAATAAAAACTGCCTTTCAGCATGCTGCTTTTACTATACTCTCTCTTTAGCTAACCCATAGCACTCTGCTCTGGGAATGTCATGCGTTAAATGTATATTTGTAAAACAAACATTGTAAACATATAAAAAATAAAACATTTGCTTATACATGTATCAATCTAAGGCTGGGTTCACACCTGAGCGTTTTTTTTATGCTCGTTTTTCAGCTCGTTTTTTTGCGTTTTTTCGTTCAGTGAAACGCGCGTTTCACTGGCGGTATGATTTTTTAGTTTTTTCCTTTATTTTCTCTATTTTTAAAAAAATAAATAGTTTTTTTTGTTGTTTCACTTTTAAACTTTCCACCGGTTCCGCCCCCCCTGTGACGCAGCCGCTCGCAAGGGACGGAACCCGTAAGTCGGCAGCCACCGAAGACACAGCGGGGATCGCGGACAAGGTAAGACCTGTACGCTGTATTCCAGAGTGTGGCTCGGGGTTACCGCTTTGTTAACCCCCGATCCACACTCGGGAATACCAATGGAAACGCGCGGCAAAACACCCCAAAGAAGCTCCTGTACTTCTTTGGGCGTAGGGCGTTTTGCAGCGCGTTTTGCAGCACATTCCTACGTGCTGTAAAACGCCCAGGTGGGAACCAGGCCCATAGGCAATCATTGGTTTTCACATGTTGAACGTTTTACAGCGTGTAGTAAAGCGCTGTAAAACTCCCAGCTGTGAACCAGGCCTTAAACAAATTGGTGATGTAATGACAATATGAAAAACATATACAGATGTCCAGGGCTTGAAAAATTTTAGGGTGTCTCACCAGTCAGTCATAAATTTCACCAGTCAGCATGACCAGACTATAGCCTTGCAATTTATGTTAACATTTTTTGGGGACAGATAGAGCTTTTTGGTGGTATATAAAATCACCAGGGGGGGTTTATTTTTTACTATATAATGAAAAAAGTACAAAAAGTTTCCCTCAGTTATGTTATAAAACATCTATTCTTACCCATATTTTAGGTAAAACATAAAAGACGGGGTCACGTTGGGTAAATAGACACCAAACATGTCAAGCCTTAAAATTGCGTGCGCCCGCAAAATCACAAAAAACGACCACACTGAAAATTGGCCATGGGCGAACGCTTAAAACGCTTTTACCGCTCATCAGTTTAGTGTTATCAGTAATTAATGGCCCTAAAATTATTGCTCAACCTCCGACGTTCGCGGTCATATGTAACATGTGCGGCACAATAGGCGCAATCGTTGTTTTCGCACGTAGGCGGACAAATGACAGGTCCTCACATCAGGGGTCTCCAAGACCCCTAATGTCACCTAGGGACCCCCAGAGAAGCTGATGAAGCCGAGATCTGCTTCATCAGCTTCTGTAGCTGGAAAGTGACTCTGAATGCAGGAAGTGATGTATTATACATCACTTCCTGCATTCCGGGACTGGAGAGTACATCAAAGGGAGATCGCGTACTGATCTCCTGTCACAGAGCCATGCTGGTCCTGGCCGCATCGGACACAGCGGATCTCGGGACCGGCAGTGACAGCTGATGGTAATACAAGCGATCGGGCATCTCGAGACGCTCGATCGCCTGAATGTAAAGCTGTGACGAGAAGACGGCGGGGCCCGAGGAGCAGCTTCCCGGCCGGCCGTTGAAGTTACACAGCCGGCCGGGAAGCTGCTCGTCGGGCCCCGCCGTCCTCTCGTCACAGACGAGCGGATTTTTCAAGCCCTGCCGATGTCACTGCACACACACCTCTGCTTTTTTTTGTCCTGCAAGAGAAGGAAGCACCATCAGAGTGCTGTTTTTGTGTGTCAAGCCTCATTAAAGGCCCATTCAAAATGAACTGGCTGCTTTAACACAACCTGTTTAACACAACCTGTATTAATGTGTTCACATAGGTAATCCAGCGTCAATTATAACGTCCAACGTTGTCCGCGTCGACTTGACAAAATTAAAATAATAAATAAAACATTTGTTTGAAAAAACGACGCACGCCGTCACCTGAGAGAGTCTTCTAGCAGGTCCCGGCCACTTTTTTTATTGAT